GTGTCCCCGGTGTCCCCAAGCCCCCGTGTCCCCGGTGTCCCCGGTGTCCCCAAGCCCCCGTGTCCGCAGGGCTGGACGGGCTGATGGAGCGCTGTGCCCAGTACAAGAAGGACGGCGCGGACTTTGCCAAGTGGCGCTGCGTGCTGAAGATCACGGCGCACACCCCGACGCGCCTGGCCGTCATGGAGAACGCCAACGTCCTGGCACGCTACGCCAGCATCTGCCAGCAGGTCCCCCAGTGTCCCCCCAGTGTCCCCCCAGTGTCCCCAGGGGGTCCCCGGGGCAGGGGGAGGGATCTACAGGGGCGGTGACACCAAGAGGTGGCACCTGGGAGGGGTTTGGTGGCACCGCAGTGGCCTCGGGCCCCCTCCTGCTGTCCCTACCTCTCCCTCTGTCCTCTCTCTCTTCCCTCAGGCTGTCCCCTGTCCCCTCTCCGTGTCCCCAGGGTGTCCCCAGTGTGTCCCTGACTCGTCTCTTGTGTCCCCAGAATGGCATCGTCCCGATCGTGGAGCCCGAGATCCTCCCGGACGGTGACCACGACCTCAAGACATGCCAGTATGTCACTGAGAAGGTGGGTGGCACCTCCGGGCTGTCCCCAAGTGTCCCCAGTTGTCCCCAGGATGTCCTGCAGCCCTCGGGGGCCCCTGGCTCACTGGGTGACACCGAGAGGTGGCAGCTGGACAGGGTTGGTGGCACCTGGGATGGTTTTGGTGGCACCTGGGTGGGCTTGGGGCAGCTCCTGGTGTCCCCAGCTCGTCCCAGTTGCACCTGGGAGGGGTTTGGTGACCTCTGGTGTGTCCTCAGCACTGTCCCCAACATCCCTGGCATGTCCCCAGAGCGTCTCTGGCAATTCCTGATGTCCCCAGGTGTCCCCAATATCCCCAGGGCTGTCCCCAGGTGCTGGTGGCTGTGTCCAAGGCCCTGAGTGACTAGCAAGTGTCCCTGCAGTGTCCCCAAAGCACCTGCAGTGTCCCCAAGTGTCCCTGCAGTGTCCCCAGTGTCCCCCAGTGTCCCCGCTGTCCCCAGGTGCTGGTGGCTGTGTCCAAGGCCCTGAGTGACTAGCACGTGTACCTCGAGGGGACGCTG